ACTAGCCTATATACCATCTGCCTTGCCATTCACAGAGGACTCTAGGCAGCAATTGGTCATGACTGGGCTGTGAAATGTATTGCTCCCTGGCTGTATATTCCCAGCTAAATGATCCCAAATGATTCTTCCCTCACCTTCAGGTAATGAAAAAGCTATTATTTCTCTTCCTAGATCTGTAACATTTAGATCTAGCCAGAAAGCCACCTGAAAGTGTGCAGCATGCCTTCCAAGGAACGTAGCTCATGTGGTGCAGAAACACGCCGTGCTGTTTGTGCAGGCTCCCCACTCCTTTCTGGATTAATATTGTTATATTGCTTGTTGAAAAGCACTGGCAACATTAATAAGGTGATCCATCAACACAGCTGTGTAAAATTTATGCTCATGCAACTCTAGGGTAGAATTGTTCTATTTCATTGAAACTTGGTGGGGTTTAGAAAACAAGACCTTTTCTGTGAATGACTAATTATTTGAAAAGGATGCTCCAAAAAGCTATGGAAATGTTCTCATTTTCTGATGGCTCTCACTGTGAAAAGCGAGTGGTATTCTTTAACACTCCCTCAGAAGGCTTTTAACCCTGAGATGTTCTTACCCCCCAGGTAGTTCTCCCTTCACACCTGATACACAGCCTGGCCATTTTCTGCTCAGAGAGTATTGATGGGGGAAAAATGGGGCATGTAGGTTTTGGCAATGTGAACTTGCCCCTAGAATCTGCTGTTCCTGGGACTATAGTCAAGTCTGAGCATCTGCTATGTGTCTTCCTCACCTGGGCTTTTGGTCCCTCTTGACTGTCAGAAAGATGTCCTTGTCTCTGCTCTGCCAGGTTACAGAGCACTCCCTACAGTGCAGAAGCTAACTGCTCTGAATCTATGGGCATGCAAATGTACCGAAGAGATACCTCACTCCTGCCTGATAACAGGAGTCAGAATACACATCTTTACTGAAGCATAGAAGTAGGATTAGGTAATGCTTTTCATTAGGCCAGCTGATGTGACAGGATCCTTGTCATGTTACACATACGGGCTGTACTCGTGCATTCAAAAGCTGTGACAGCAGCAGAGAAATCCAGTGGCTTACTTGATAATCAATCAAGCCTTCAGCTCCCAGAAATCAGTGTTGTTCCATTGGCTCCAGCTAACTATGCTTGTTTACATCCATTACATGAAAATATTTTGAATTTGGCCAATTTATTGGTTACTAGCTTAATAAAACATGCTGGCACCTGCCCTCATCTCCTGAGTCAACAGAAGTCCCGGGGCTATTTCTTGTCCATCCAATCTGGCATTTAATGCCACCGTAACTAGATTTGCAGTTCTTTAAGAATTCACGTATGGGTAATGAACCTTCAAAGCCACACATGGGTGACAAATTGTGGTTCACAAGGAATTCAGGGGCATTACACCCAGGGCTGGCTTCACATGCCTTTCAGGCATAATTGGAGAAGAATGTTAAATCCTTTCCTATATAAGCAAGAGACGGCCCTAGCACCGGGCATCCTCTGGCTCCACAGCAATTACATCTGTACAGCTTTCAGCACTCCATCCTTTTCTAACAGCCTTCTTCCCTCCTAATGAAGGAGAGAAAAGGAAAGCAAAAAGAAAAACATCTGCAGGGCTCAATACCTAAAGCACTATGTTATCCCTCATAAATCCAAATAACTCGGAGGGCTTCAGTGAAGAATTAAGGTGGATTTAGCTAGCTGTGGAGACACTTGGCTTCTGAATTCTTTTCAGCAGTCTGTTCCTCAGGCAACCAGGGAGGATCTCTCTACATCAGCAACATTTAGTGAAGAAGCTGTTCTGTAATGTCGGTAGCGTTTGTCAGAGGCTACAAGAAAATGTGAAAGACTCAGAGCAGGAGTGTTTGGTGGACCTTACTCAGGGTGGAAGTACTGCAGCTGAAGACTCAGTTTCCCTGGTAAATGAGTATAGTGAAAGTATTCCTAGCATCAGTCTCTCATTGTCTTCCTCCACTCACCTTGGCAATTGATAAAACATTTAATTTCAGGAGCACCTAATGATCCATGAGGTTAAAAAGAAAAAAGTTGATATTAATATAAAGTTATTTGTCCAAGACCATAAAAGAATAATTTCATTGAATCAATGTGTGCTAGATTACATCAGACCCGATTCTAGCTTAAAAGAGCCTTGTTTGTACTGCACATCGAGAAAAACATGGTGAGAAGCATCGAGCACCAGAGCAGAGAGATGAGGGCTCTCCCTGGCATGGACAGTCCATCTGCTCTGTGGATCATCCATGAACTGCTAGACATCCTTAAGGTATTTTAACGTACAGGAGACTTTATATATTACATTTCACTACACATTTATGAGCACTGAAAGTAATTACACCTTTCCTCTTTCTAGAGGTGAGGAAACTGGAAGTAAAATGTGTCTCGTCCAAAGCCAGTCCTCAAGATCTAGGTTAGGGTTAGAAGCCTTTAAGGAAAAAACCCAGCTCTTCAGAGAAAAAAAGAACTAAAAGGGAGGCTTCCTGCCTCCAGATGTATTGTCCATTATGTTGCCCAAGCTCCTTCAAAAAATTATTGGCATCGGTGATCCTTACACTAATGAATTCTGCCTTTATCTATGAAACCGGAGTATTGCCTTTCACCAGTAAATGACAATTTTTCATTAAACGTCTCTCGTATAATGAGAGATAGTACAAAGTGAAAAAAGAAAATTACTTTGTTACTTTTGTAGCTTTGTATGTAAGGCTGCTCAGGACTCAGGGGAGGATAAAATGACAAGACTGAAAATTCAGCATCTCTTGTATGGGCAAATCACTTTTCTTTGTCTAATCATTTTCGTTACCAATCTACACTGTTCATGTTATTTCAAAAGTGAGTGAAATGAGCATAATAATCCAAAACAAGTGTCTTTTGTGTGTATGATGACGCCACAATCTTTTCATACAACTTTTCTGGTTTTGTTTCTCATAACACCATGCAAATGGGCACCCTTTGTAGGATTTAGCAAAATAATATGCTCGAGCACTTCGGGGTCCTTGTTTGTCAATGGTGAGGTTTTTTTAGCTACCTATTCATGTAGCTTAATTAGCTAGCTGCCTCTGAAAGTTTTCAACCTTCTTTAACCTCGTCTAATCTAGGTGACAAAATTTATAGAAATAATAAGGGCCTCTCACTCTCCATTGCCTTTCTTAGAAGGTTAATAATTTAACAATATTGCTACCTTGCCTGCTACTCAGCTACTGAGATTGTAACTAAGTGTCTCCCAAAGTGGAGGAGACTTGCCGCTCATCTATTTGGTCTTCCATACCCTCCTCACAAATTATAGGGAAGATACCAGATGTTTCTAGATGAGCATTTTGCTCTTGACTGAGTTGTCAGACACATCAATCAATGCACCCAGAGCTTTGCCTGCGCTGCAACAACAGCAGGTTAATTTGTAATTGTTGTTCCACGCCATACAAAGCAGAATGTATCTTTGATTACCCGTGAAGTTACATTAACACGCAGCTTTATTTTCAGGTCCGCTTGTGTTAACAACACTAAAGGCCCATTTGCTTTCTGCGGTCCAGTGGCGCTTAGGGGGTGCCGCAGCTGGTCTCACGGAGCAGCAGCTTGGAAAAGAAGAGAAAACCCGCTCATCGTTCAATGCTTTCAGGGAGTTCTAGGGGACCGATGGGACCCACCTACCTAAATTCAGCTCCAGCATCAAGGTCTAAGAGAAAAATCCCAGCAAAGACTCTGCATGGAAGAACCCTGCAGTACAGTCTTGGATTTTTCAAGGAGAAAGAGCCACTCTGTCAGATATATTTTTAAGTGACTGTTACCAATAAAACCTCAAGTATTGCTTAAGTTTTTTTCCTGAAACAACAACAGTATAGAAACTAAGGAGGGAGGAAGGTTCCTACGTTGCTGCAACTGTCTCCATCATGACAGAATTTTCTCTTGGCATGCCCAGGATGGGATGGATGCAATGTAAGAGAAATTTTGGAGCCTTATTATAACTGACAATGGCTCAGGAAAGAAGAGTTGCTCTTTCAGCTACTACTTGGCACCAACAAAGAAGTAACTTCTGTGTTTTAAAATTTCCAGATTCAAATTATCTGCAATTTTTTTGTGGTGAAAGGGAGAAAAAAGTACCCCCACATAAATGTCCAAGGCGTTCAAGAAAAGCAAAAAACTTCCTATCTCATAAAGACTTGAACAACCTCTATAACTACTTGTGTGGCTTATTAATGTGTATTAAAAACCGTGTGACCGAAGTTTTGTTGCTGGGTTTTGTTTAAGTTAGAATGATGGGGAAGGTGGTTTTTTCCCAGGAATGGTAAAAGTTATCAGAGTTGAAGTCACCACCTCGAAACGGGCTCAATTAAGAGCGGGACGAGGAGGAGGAGGAGGAGGAGGAGGAGGGGGACGGCGCCCGGCCCCAGCTCTCTCCTCAGGCGCCGTACGCTCCCTCGGTTTCGGCTCCCTGTCCGCCCCGGGGTCTCGCCGCCCCCCCCCCCCCGCAGGCAGGCGGCGGGGGTCGGAAAGCCCCCGCTGCCCGGGGGGGAGGCGAGGGCTGGAAAGGGCAGGGGCGGCCATGGGGATGGCGGCAAAGAAACGGGCGACCTCAGCCCACCCACGCTTCCCAGCACCCGCGGGGCGGACTTTCCCCCCGCTAGGGAGTGGTGCGAGCCGAGGGCCGCCCCCGGGGGACGCAGGAGGAGGAGGCAGATGAGGAGGAGGAGGAGGAAGGGGCACGGCGCGCGGCCCCTGCGGCCGCCCCCTCCATCCGCCCCTCGACGGCCGTGACTGACAGCCCGCCAGGGGCGGGGCGACGCTATGCAAATCCCCCCCCTCTCTTTCGCAGCCAATAGGCGGGTGTGCCGAGCGGCGGGGCGGGACGCCAGGCGGGGACCAGCGCTTGCCTCGACGGCGCGGCCGCTGAGGCGGCAGCGGCGGCGCCGGGAGCGGCGCGGGTG